CCTCAGGGTGGAAGCAGGGAGTCTGGGAGTTTCCCTATCATGAAAAAGAACTAAGCAGCTCTCAAGAAAATGGAAAGATACTAGACAGCTCTGTCCCCAGGAAGGTAACAGCTGCCTGAGAGACAGGACGTGGGCTCTGGTCTCAGAAGCCTCTACTCACGTCGTGGAGTGGGAAGGCAGCTAAGTAAGTGTTGGAGTTCAGCAGTCTTTCAATGCCGATCTTCTTCTTCCCCTCTTCCACTCCGAAAGGACACCGTGACAGAATATAGTAAACCTGAAGGGTAGGAACAGAGACCCAGTGCGTCAATCCTACAGGCAAGTACAAGACGTCAACACAGCAGCCCTACGAGGTAAGCGGGAGGTGATCTCAGCACGGTAAACACACCAGGTAAATATGAGAGACTTTACACGGTAAACCCAGGAGCTTAGTACCAGAACTTGACACCTTCAGACTTTTCAGATAACAATTCAACGATGCCCACACTCTCTGCATGTGGACATGAGCGTTGACGACAGGAGAAAACCTGTCTTTGTTTGGGAGATGGCAAGAGGTTAGGGTTGTCTGAAATTCCCACGCATTCCAGTCCTGGGTTCTGATGATCCCTGTTGCTTTGGTGGGGCGTGCGGCGGACGGATCAGGATTTACTTTCTTGTTTCACACCCTTCAGAGAGTGTCATGGGCCAGAACTCCTACTACAAGCAGGATTTCAAATATTGCTCTCAACAGTTCATGTGGAGAAATATCAGATCCAACTGATGTACAGCCAAGCTGTCTTGTGTTACTTCTTTGGTTAATTACTTTGATGATGCCTACAGGGTCTTTACCTGCTATTATCTCGTTAAACTTAGCCCAGGTTTGTCACATCTCTACAACCATTGTCCAGTCACCTGTCAGGGTAGGTCAAGGTCAGGTTCTTACGGGGAGCAGAGAAACATAATCTGTTGAGTACAGTTAATGAGTAGTTGGTTCTGATAGATGAGATGGCTCAGCTAACCACTGATGAGTCAGTCTGCAAATCTGGAAGGAGAGTGTTGGCCTTTGTTCCTATAAAGTTTTCTTAGACCATTTCTTTAAGAAAATTTGCATTCATAAAGTACAAGACTTAAAGTCTTCTGAATGAACAAAAGTATTTTTTTAAAAAAAATATGTAATACCAGTACGTCCGCAAAAGGAAAATGCATTGCTTAATCAAAAACACTTTATACTGGGTGTGGTGGCTCACGCCTTTAATACTAGTACTAGGAGGCAGAAGCAGGTGGATCTCTGGGAGATGGAGGCTAGCCTAGTCTACACAGGAGTTCCAGACAGGGAGACCTGTCTCAAAAAAAAAAAGTACTTTATCACTAAAACATGTTAAGTATAGAAGCCATCAGTGAGTTATGACGGTCCTCTGGTGGGGTCATCCCTCCATGCTGATGACTGCTGAAGGCTGGGCTGACTGGTCGTTTCCTAACCTAAGACGGCCGATGAAGTAAACATCATTGACAGATTTTTTTCCTTGCATGAAACAGTTCCCTGAGGTGTCTGAGGTGTGCAATGCTCTTTTATGCCACTGTAACCACAGTGGAACATCAGTCAAAACTGGAGAGAACATTGTTTAAACTCACCACTTCTTTACCAGCTAAATTCACTAATTTCCTGAACTCCTTGCTGTTATTTCAAATTGC